TTTTCTTGCCACTGCTGTAATCTCTCTTCTTGTTTCTTTTCTTTTTCCTCCAACAACTGCTGTAATCTCGCTTCTTGTTTATTTTGCTGTTCTAGCTGCCACTGTTGCAGGTTTTTCTTGCAACTGCTGTTGTCTCTCTTCTTGTTTATTTTCTCGTTCTTCTTGTTTCTTTTGCTGTTCTTGTATTGCTGCCATCAAATCTTCTAAGCTGTAGTTTGATTTGCCACTTCTCGTTTCCATCTTCTTCTTCTTGTTTTTGTTATTTTTATTTTCCGTCCCACTCTCCGACACCAATTTGTTACATCTCTGTGTTCGTTTCTTAATTTTCCGTTGAAATTCTTTCCGAGAAACTTCAGCGATACAAGTCCTTTCTTAAATAAAACCAGTTTATTCTTTCTCAACTCAACTTTGCAATACACTTAATTTCCACAGTCACTTTAACTTAAACACACACTATAATTCACAACGATTCACGCAACGTAATTACGGTCACTACCGCGCTTGACTCAATTGTCTGTCTCTCTGTCTGCAATTCTCTTGTTGCCATCACTTTATTTGCCGGCTTATATACTATAAGAGCGCAAGTCTAGCAAACGCTAGGATGTTCGACAGGTTCCTCGATCTTTCTAGATACTCATTACGTGTTACCAGTGTCACGTGACTTCCACTGTCGTAACAATACTTATTACTTCCTATAACAAGTCCCTGCAACAGTACTTGGTACTGCCTCGTTTTTAAAGTATCTCTCAGTTGTTATATTACGTGAATTTACTGCCAATTCAAAAGACAATCTCAATATAACTTTGGCATGCTTATAGTGTATATACAACCTGTACATTATCAGAACACTGACTGTGCCTTTGTGAGACAATGAAGATGGTGCTGTCTTGTCCATTTTGTCCAAGAAAATTTGTAAAATCTAAAATCTTCGTGAGACAATAAGTTTACATATTTTTTTTTGTTTGACCTTCCTCCTTTAATAAAAACAAAGAGGTAATGCATTTGTGTAATTGTGGGCTGTTGTTTAGTAACTTAATTCGGTTCAAATAAAATATTTATCAAATTCATACTTATTCTTGTTTTTGAAGTTTTTTTTTTTGAATTTCAGGAAACGGAACTCTGATTGGTGCCTCAGCCAATGTTGTCTGCGCAGGCGTAGCTGAACAGCATGGTTACCGATTTACATTTATGGATTTTTTTAAGTAAGTAGTTTAGAGATATACAAATCAATTAGTAGCTTTCAGTGTTTTTTTATATATATATTGAGTAAAAAGGAGTTTAACTAAAAAGTACGAAAGATTAGTACCTCTGTCTTGTGTGCTACAACAACAATATATTGTAATGACAGCTAAACATATTTTGAACTAGAATAGTTGATATTGTGATACCTACAATTTTACCCGTATCTTATGTGTTTAAGGATGTAAGGTTTAGTACAATATGGTGTTTTCAATTAGAGAGAGGTAATAACGTTTGATTGTATTGTACTGTGGTGTCGACGTGTAACAAGCCCAAATAGGCAAAAACTAATATATAATTTAGTAGACGAACAAAAATTACACTACTATACTCAGTTTGCAGTTACTCAGCTTTTTCTCTATTTTTAACTGTATACACCAAATATAGAGCGAAACAGTATTGTTCCGTCGTAGGTGGGCTTTTTTGGATTATATAATTAAAATAATCCGAAGATCAGTTCATTTAATCATAATGAATTAATTTATTTCTTCAATAACGTTTCCTACAGGCTACGTTCACTTTGAAGCAACTTGTAGGCCTGGGTTCACAAACAATCTTTCCAACATAGACTGAAACTACTCAAGGCCTAATATACTAATAAAGTTTAACAGAAGTTTTCGTGATTGATAACAAATGCTTACTAACATACTGATTAAATTACAGAAGCACTAACTCTTACTGAAAAGCTTTATCATACACACTCTGAATACTTCACTCACTTCTCATTAACTACTCTTCTGTCTACATCTTAAAGTTAGCATGGTGTTAAACTTTCTAGTTATTCTAGATCTTAACGTCATGTGCTCTCTAGCAAATGTCTAAAATGAATAAATAAACAAACAAAGCTTATTAAAACACGTCAAATACCAGTGCAGTAGCATTGAAAATTTTCTAGGAGGGGTGGGGGGACTGGTGTCTCTGTAATTTGTATATTTGTAGTTAAGCGCAAAGCTACTCAGTGGACTATCTCTGCTGCCCCAACCACGAATATCGAAACCTGGTTTCTAGCATTATAAATCTACACACTTACCACTGTGCTACTGGAACTGTAATTTGAAAAATAAGTGTGTAAAATAAGAGAAAAAATCTAGAACAAACCTCCTTTTTTGTGGCGAGGGGTGCTAAAGTCCAGTAGCCCCGCTGCCTATTTACGTGATTTCTACTACTGTAAACAAACAAAATAGTCTTTAGGTAAATATATCTTTCTAAACGCTTGTGCAAAAGAAATTAAATCAGATAATAAAAAACACACACACACTATTAAGCTAATATATTCAAATTATGTATATGGAACATTGAAGAAAAGGGTAACTTTATTTCAGTGAAGTACTGCAATTTAAAAAGCACAAAAAATAAAAGCATTTTTATGAAGTTTCTGAGTAGGAAATTCCCCATAGCTAATGGTAAAGATGGTGACTGTACCTCACATATCTTAATTAATTTGTTTGGACTGCTTGATCATGAGATTATGATAAAGGTTTAGACAGTGTCATAAAACATAAACTTTTTTCTTTTTTCTTGTTTATTTAACTAAATATCTTATAAACATACTAAACCCGATGTTTTGCTTAAGTATTGCATTAATCCAGGTTGAAAAACACAAAATTAATTGTTATTTAGGCACTGTACTAGTCCAGGTTTTAAATCATTATAAGTCTTATGATTTATTCAGATACTGTATTAGACCCGGTTTACAGAGGTACACTAAGCCTAATAATTTATTCAAATATTGTATTAGCCCAGATTTAGAGGTACATTAAGCCTAATAATTTATTCAAATATTGTATTAGCCCAGATTTAGAGAGTACACTGAGCCTAATGATTTCTCCGGATACTGTGTTAGCCCAGGTTTAGAGAGTACACTAAGCCTAATAATTTATTCAGATACTGTATTAGCCCCGGTTTAGAGAGTACACTAAGCCTAATGATTTCTCCGGATACTGTGTTAGCCCAGGTTTAGAGAGTACACTAAGCCTAATAATTTATTCAGATACTGTATTAGCCCCGGTTTAGAGAGTACACTAAGCCTAATGATTTATTCAGATGCTGTATTAGACCAGGTTTAGAAGTACAGTAAGCCTAATAATTTATTCAGGCACTGAATTAGACTAGTTTGGGAAATTTAGTTTCTAATCTGAGATAATTTTCATTGAACTTGCGGTTGTGTCTGCACACTTAATGGGTACTTCAGTTGGAATCAAAAGAGAAGTTATTTTTGTTTGTGATATATTTACATTCGAATGATACTTTTCAAAGCTATTCATACTTCAGTATCAATAAATTCTGCAAGATGATATTTAACCTCTGAATTCCTTACAGTTAGAGTTTTAAAATATCTACATTTAATTACTATTTCAGTGGTAGTAAATGACTATCTATATCTTCATGTAGACAACTAACTAGATAACACTTCCCATTTTGTACTAACCTTTAGGAAGCATTATTTATAAAAACAAACTACATCATAAATAGACATATTGTTACGTCTCTGGTCGTTTGTTAATTTCCCGTAAAATTATTTCCAAGGAACTTCAGCGATACAAGTGATTTCTTAAATAAAACTAGTTTATTTTTTCCAAATACAACTTTGCAATACACTTAATTTCCACAGTCACTTTAACTTAAACATAAGCTATAATTCACAAAGATTTACACATTTTACTTACGGCTTGACTCGATTATCCCCGTTATCAATTTATCTGCCGGCTTACATACTAAAATAGAGAGAGCCTAGAAAAGACTAGAGTTGCGAGGAACTGTCATGATCCTTCTAGAAACTCCAGTGCGCATGCTTCCACGTCACGTGACTTCCGCTGTCATAACAATATATTTCATTTCTGTGGCTTTATTGTTTGTTTTAGAGCTATGATTTACATTGCGTACAAACAGACATTGAACAGTTTCCATGTTTGACCTTTCCAGGATTGGTTTTCCGGTGATGTTGCTGACTGTTACAATTTCTACAGGATACTTACTTCTTTGTCACGTGGCCCTGGACTGGAATAGTTGACCACACAAAACAACACAAACTATGTAGATACGTATCTCCATAGTTCTGTGATTTATTTCAACGTAATCAAAATTAAAAACCATTTGGAAAGATTTAACAACTGTTTTAATGGAAAATAAAATAAAATTTACTAGTGAGTGATTCATTTTTCGTAGAAGGTAATTTAATTATAAAGAACAATACGAACGCTCATTAAATACTTCGTATGATTACGTCTGTGTTGTTCTTTATAACATGAAGTTTCTGAAGTTACTAATGATAAATCAAATTCACAATCGTGGAATGAGAAGTGATTTTAACTATTTCTTACAAAATTTGGAATAATGCTTAGATATTAAGTCGAGATTAAAATCAATGTGTAAACTTTGTAAGTTTAGATTCCAATTTATAGTGTATATTTGTATCTTTGTTAAATAAACTAAAGTACGTTCAAAGTACTGACACTGTTATTTGAAGACACGTTTGTGTCATGATTTTAGCGATGTATGTATACAAAAATAAAAAAATCAATAAAAAAAGTGTGATTTTAATTTCCTAATGTTTAAAAATATTAAGTTTCGACGTCAAGCAGTTCTCGAAGTGAAGTAAATTACAAGCAAATCACACACAAGCAGTTCTCGAAGTGAAGTAAATTACAAGCAAATCACACACAAGCAGTTCTCGAAGTGAAGTAAATTACAAGCAAATCACACACAAGCAGTTCTCGAAGTGAAGTAAATTACAAGCAAATCACACACAAGCATCCTTTTTTAAAACTTCCGCAGGATTCAAAATTAAGTTTCTTTATTAGGCTTACAAGCACACTTTTGTTGTAGAGTACGCAATACATTATTAAAGTTACAAACAATAGAAGGCTTAGGTAAACTAACTGCTGTGTTATATTTTAGAATGTTACATGCTAAAGGAAACGTAACTTTAGATACTATATATTCTCATAATTGCTCGTTATTTTCACGTACGTTAATTTTACATTTGTTGATTACTTTTATAACAATGTTTTAAGTTTCGCTACTAAATCTCATGCATTATCTTTAATCTTTGGCTAATTGTTAACAAATGTCTAGTAATGTTTTTATATGAACTTATATTAGCATGAGTTCTTTGAATTGTTGTAACGGTTTCCATTGTTTGACGGTTTCTTTTGGATTATTCTGTAAAAAAAAAAAAAAACTAATGCAAAGTTTAATTCATTAAATGATAACGAAAGTGTTTTTTTTTCTTAAACTTCTAGTTCTACAAGTTAGCTTTACTAATGCTTACTGATGTGCCTAAGTTTGAAATAAAGACTAATACAATAATTTAACTTACTTTCAAAACTATATCCTACGTAGGGTACTTTCTTGTATCTTAATTTCATCGTTTGAACACAAACTCAATATTCGCCAAACTAAAGTAAATGACTAACTAGCTGATAGTAAAACACAAACTGACGAAAAACTCAACAATTTACTCTAGTCTAACGTGCATTTTTATACTATTTAAATCCTTGCTTGCATTTTCAAGAATACTTTAGACATTTAGCCACGATCATCACATGACGTTAAAACTATCTATGCCTGAGCAACAAAATAAACTTAGAAAAACGAAAACATAGCCTACAACACTGCCTCTTCTCTGAATTGTGAAGCCATTTGAATAATCATATTACACAGTTTATTATTTTGCAAAATCTGTGACTTGGCAAATTTCTTCAACAAATGGTAATTATATTTCTCTTGACGAAGGTGTCATTTGTGTGATAGACAAATTCTTGTATAAGTAAATAAAATACATTAGACTTAGTTTAAAAGGGTGCTTTAATTTCTAATATTCAGGACACTGGCTCATCAGATTAAGAAATGTGACCAAGCTGCTTCAAGTATATTACATTTGACCCTAGACATTTTTTTTTTGTTTACATATTGTATATAGTAATTTCATGTTAGTTTACATGCAAAGAATGTTATGATTTAAAGTTTGTTTTACACTTTTGTTTATATATAAGTTTATAGATGATAAATACCTACATTTTCATATTAAGAATACGAATGATCTCACTTTACATTATACAACAAAAACTGAACTGCTTGCACATGTGTAAATTTTGATATAAGAGTTGAACTTACTCTGTCTTTTTATCTCTCTATATAAATTCATGTGGAGTGTGTCGTCACTGCCTCTAAATACCAAACAATTGAAACAACCTTACAAATTTCGTTAGTAATCTTTATGATCATAAAGTATTTATGACTGATTTTTGTAAAACTTCTAAAATAAACAAGTCAAAACAAACTTCTTAGTAACATCTATTCACTCTATTACTAGAATAAAAACGCGAGTTCATTCTTGTGGTTACAACATGACTTTCAGCTCGTAAACTCGTATAACTGTGTAACTGTTTCGCATGTCCAGTTTATTAATGACATAAATACAAATTTGATATCAATCAAACTATGAAAGTAAGTCATGCATGACAGTCGTTTTCAATGAAGTCAAATTATAAATTTGGTCAAATTGGTATTATCGTAGCTGCGTATTATATATATATAAATCTTAGTCCTGATTTGAAACATACAAAGTTGTTTATCGTGAAAGTAATATTATAACCTGTCCATTGGTAGATAGTGAAATGTGCATACTTGAAATTCTCTTCGTCAAGTTTGATGGCCCTATTATAACTGAATGATTAAAAAAGAATAACGTTTTTTCACGTGATGAGTACCCGTTATCTTCCCAATCTTCAGGATGAATCCTTATCTAGAACGCGTTTTAACGCGTTTTCTCTAGATTTCCGATACTCTAATACAGTGGTCGGCAACCTATGACCCGCGGCAATAACTTGGCTGACCCGCCAGAAGTTGGCTTCACCATTGCAACCCGAAAGGGCATATTCATTGTTCAGTTCAAGTTTCTCGGCTATGTGAGAAGAACAACGATATTAAAGGAAAGATGGGAAAGAGTCACGGCTATGGAGAATTTTAAGATCAATTTCAGGGAAAAATATCAAACTGGTCGAACTATTAATTTTTTGTATGTAAATAAACATACACATTTAAAATACGTGTACTGGTATTAATAATTATATGATTATCACTGACCCAACACAATGCTAAATTTTTCAACAAAAAAATAATTGACCCGCGATCAAAAAAGGTTGCCGACCACTGTCTAATACAATAATATCTGTCTAATGTCAAGATGCTCAATCGTGTAATTGCACAAATAAAACGACTCTTTATTTTGATAACCAAAGAGAATATCAAACAGTTAAAATCTATAATTACTCGTACGTCACATTCACTTCTTTATTCATTGGATGATGAGTAGCATGTAGTTACTGGCATCACTAAATAATTGAGCATATTCGGTTAATTTTTAATATTGAATATAGAAACTAAGATTAGCATGTGTACTATGAAATGACTTACATACGTGTTCTCAAAGACCTTGGTAAACATATGTATAAATTGATGATGTTGGTAAAGCACTGTATATAAATTGATGATGTGTGGTAAAGGACTGTATATAAATTGATGATGTTTGGTAAAGGACTGTATATAAATTGATGATGTGTGGTAA